GAGAGACACACAACTGTAGATTACACTGGTCTGAGAGAGACACACAACTGTAGATTACACTGGTCTGAGAGAGACACACAACTGTAGATTACACTGGTCTGAGAGAGACACACAACTGTAGATTACACTGGTCTGAGAGAGACACACAACTGTAGATTACACTGGTCTGAGAGAGACACACAACTGTAGATTACACTGGTCTGAGAGAGACACACAACTGTAGATTACACTGGTCTGAGAGAGACACACAACTGTAGATTACACTGGTCTGAGAGAGACACACAACTGTAGATTACACTTAACCCCACTTTGCCTGAAGCCCCCACTGAAAGATCTCAGCTCCTGTGGACTCAGCACCTGCAGAGGATCAGTGAGGGGCTGGGGCTCTGACTGCCACCCCCGACCCAGACATGGATTAAGGGGAAGAAGATGGATGGATGTTTATTTATGGATATAGATATATTTTTATAGAAACATTTTATTCTGTTTTAATTGTTCGTCTTTTATTTAATCTATTTTTAATTCATTTTTTAAATAGTTTTTTATTCTAATTTATTTTATTTCAATAATGTGTTTTTTAACTTTATTTCTTTTTTCTATGGTTTTTATGTATTTTATTTTTGGAATTGTTTTTATTTAAAGACTTATTTCTTTAAACGTTACTTTAATCTGTGCTTTAGAAACATGTTTCACAAAAAGTTCTTTATAAAAATAAATGAATCTGAATCTTTTCAAATAAAGTGGATTTTACACATTTCTTCAGTTTGTGTCAAAAAGTTCAATCTTCAACTTTTTTTGTTCAAAGAATTTTCTCAATAAAAAAAAACTTTATTCGTAAAAGGCACAAATTAAATCTGGCTTTTCCAAAAACTTTCAAATATGCTTCAGTCTGACTTTATCTTTTAGGACTCGGAGAACAAACTCATGGCTGGACTCTCGGTGAAGCTGGGGCTCTGTAGTTTGGGCCTCTGATGTTGTGTTTACTCTGATTATAAGGAGGAACTCATGCACTGCGCTGGAATCACCTCATTTCACAAACAGACAAATGTAAAATACAAACACAGCTGGACTCTTCATAAAGCTGCGGCTCTGTAGTTTGGGCCTCTGACACCTCTCTCATTACAAGTAGGAACTAATGCCCAACCGTGGAACAGATGGATCACGTTTGTAAACTCAGGACGGAATCATTTTTAAATTGGATCAAAATTTACTTTTTGCATCAGAAAATTCCCGTCGGTTTTTCTGCACTGGCTGTGAATTTCAGATTTGTCTCGCGCAGTGAATCCTGAACTTTCTGACTTTCTCTGAGCTTTGAAGGTCCCTTTTCGAATCGCAACTTTAAAAGGAATATCCTAAAATCTTGGACAGACACCGGAAGATTTTATAATTTACTCTTTCTTATGCTAAAGATAGAGATTTAACTTTATTATAGACGTATGGCCCCTGTTCTGATGATGCAACACTGACATTTCTCCTGTGTGGGACAAATAACGTTCTTTTTTTTGTATTTTTTGCGTAGTTTTGGCCTTTGATGTCTCCATTACTCAAATTATAAGTAGTAGCTAATGTCTCACCGTTGGAACATTCCAGATAAAACATTATAAACGGCCCCAAACCAGAAGCTAACCCTGCACCAGGAAACAGGCGGGAACAGCTCGATAAACAGCTGCATCACGTTAAACATATCATTTAAAATCTCGGACGTGCACAAACATCTGACAGCTTTGCATTTCGATTACAAGTCACAGGAAAAACTCAAAAATCATTCTTTTATTTTTGTGCCGTTTTCTCGCAAGACAAAAGAGGCGAGAAAACGGACGCGAGAATACAAATGGTGTTCACCCGGTCGTGCAAACCTAGCTTAGACGGCTACAGATACGGATCCGGAAGATGCATCATGGCGTGGGTTGACAACACCTTTAAGACGAGTGCAGAGAAGGGGGAAAAAAAAGAAGAGAAGAAGAAAAAAAGCGGCGCTACAAATGGCTCGGGGCGGAGACGGAGCGCCGGTCGGGACACACTAAATAAAAAAACTATTTCGCGCGCTGACACGGCCATTCTGTTGGAAGCCGGAGTCGGATTATTCTAAGCAGTTTGAAGGATGGCGTTCGGCGCATCCAGACGCCCGTGCGCACTCAATGCTCTTTTAACTACCTGCAGCCAAACGCCAAGGGAAAAAAACACAGATTGGGCGGAGGTGCAACGCCGAGGGGGGAAGAGAGTGATCTGCCCCAGTGGTTCGCACAAGAGCGGTTTTCATTTTCAATTTCGAACGGCAACAAAAGTCACCGGTGCTTTACAAAAGGAAGGTGGAAGAGAGAGAGACGGTCGAGGCTCAGAGAAAGTTATTCAGAGAAACATGGAGATGGACCCCGGGTTATTCAATGTATTTATGCCACTTTTTAACAATGAGTTTTACCCGTTATTCGATTAAATACATGATTAGTATATTCTAAAAACTTATACTACAGTATCTTTACAGCATGCATGTGGAATTAGAGTTATTCTCAAAGTTAAATGTCATGTAGTTTGGTGTGAAGAAGTTGCAGAAAATAGACAAAATATAATTACATGTTTTTTTGGTATCTTTTTGTGAACAGCCAAAGAGCCAATCAGAGAGCCAGAGAGCCAATCAGAGAGCCAATCAGAGAGCCAATCAGAGAGCCAATCAGAGAGCTAATAATAGAGCCAATCAGAGAGCAAGAGAGCCAACCAGAGAGCCAACCAGAAAGCCAACCAGAGAGCCAACCAGAAAGCCAACCAGAGAGCCAACCAGAGAGCCAATCAGAGAGCCAACCAGAGAGCAAGAGAGCCAACTAGAGAGCCAATCAGAGAGCAAGAGAGCCAACCAGAGAGCCAACCAGAAAGCCAACCAGAGAGCCAACCAGAAAGCCAACCAGAGAGCCAACCAGAGAGCCAACCAGAGAGCCAACCAGAGAGCCAATCAGAGAGCCAACCAGAGAGCCAACCAGAGAGCCAATCAGAGAGCCAACCAGACAGCCAACAAACTCGTAACTTGGCAAAACCTCATAAAAAGACCATTTTACGTCATACTTTAAGCTAAGCCGTTGTAGCCAATAGCATCCTCCGCACACTTCTTCTTCCACCTCCACAGTTCGGGTTTGGTGAACTCTGGGATGGCGCCCGCTGTTTAAAAATGGCCGCCGACCGCTCCATCCTCATTACGAGTGCCTTGTTTTCCTCTGGGCCCTGAAAGCCTCTCGCAGTCATTTGGAATACAGATGGGTCGATGCATCACCGCGGGACCATCAGTCAATCAATGGACCTTTCAATACCGCTCTAAGCTCCGCCCCCTTTTCCCGCTTTTCCCCTGTGCAGCGTAAGAAGAAGAAAAAAGAAGGAGGAGCCATGTTGGGTTTGCAAATGGGCTTTCAACGTAATAGCTCGGTCCACTTGAGAGGAGATTGATGCGGTGTTGACACAGGCCGTGAGAGGCCGGTGCGGATGTTTGTGTGAAGAAGAATACGGCCGTGGATAAAACCGACATTAGTGCGAGAGAGAGAGGTTATTGGGTTATTTTTAGATTTTTGTAATTTGAATAATATCTGTGTGTGGAAGAAAGCAGCTGAGAGAGACTCTTAAACCGAGCTCAAAGACTCTTCTGGCACCTGAAAAAGCCATGTTCCAGCTTCTTCCCTCTGGCAGAAGATCGCATTGGCTCAACTCCAGGACATTTAACACTCTTCAGAGCAACAATTGTTTCTTGTATTGTTTCACCAGTTTTATTTGGTATACTTGTCTGCTGCACACTGGGGACTCTTGCACATTTATTCCAATGTGGTTTTACTGCAAATGGCAAATAAATGAATCTGAATCTTACATTTAGAGACCTCTGTGAAACGCTACATTAGCCACTGTTGCCAGGATTACACCCGTCCAATCACAGCTCTCTCTCTCTTTTTCTCTCTCTCTTTCTGTCTGTCTCTCTCTCTCTCTTTCTCTCTCCCTGTCTCTCTCTCTCTCTTTCTCTCTCTTTGTGTCTCTCTCTCCCGGTCTCTCTCTCTCTTTCTCTCTCTCTCTCTGTCTCTTTCTCTCTCTCCCTGTCTCTTTTTCTCTCTTTCTCTCTCTCTTTCTCTGTCTCTCTCTCCTGGTCTCTCTCTCTCTTTCTCTCTCCCTGTCTCTTTCTCTCTCTCCCTGTCTCTTTCTCTCTCTCCCTGTCTCTTTCTCTCTCTCCCTGTCTCTTTCTCTCTTTTTCTCTCTCTCTTTCTCTGTCTCTCTCTCTCTCCCTCTCTTTCAGTTTTTTTGCCATTTCGTTCAGAAGCAGATTTTCTTCATCATTTCTGTTAAAAGTGGTCGTGTTTGTGGCTAAAGTTGAAAAAAACACATATTTGTAAAAACACGTGGCCCTCGACGGAGCCTCGCACCAAGAGTCACACTTTTATCAAATTAAGTTAAAAATCTCCAGCTGCGAGACTCTCGAGACGTTTCATCTGAAGCCGAGGATCGAATGAGCACAAAAAAGTGTAAATGTTTAAAAGTTTAAATGTTTAAAAGTTTAAATGTTTAAAAGTTTAAATGTTTAAAAGTTTAAATGTTTAAAAGTTTAAATGTTTAAAAGTTTAAATGTTTAAAAGTTTAAATGTTTAAAAGTTTAAGTGGAAGGAAGTCAGAAAGTCTGGGATCATGTTTAGTTTAGTCGTGGATCTGACGTGTTCGAGATGACTCTGGTTTAAACAGAACAAGAGAAAAGTCTGTGGAGAAACAGGTGATTTTTGTAAAAAGTCTTAATATTGTGGAGTTAAGTGTTTTGGGTCACGGTAAAATGTCAAAATAATAATAATGTATTATAATAAATAATAATACAATAAATGATAATAGTAAATAAACTACACTAAACTAAATAAATAAACTAAACTAAAAGCAAAGTAAAATACTATAAATTTGAAAATTCCTTCTCAAATACACACACAAACTTGTGATGCAACACTGGAATTTCCCCACCGTGGGAATATTTCATAAGCTGACGTTTAACAGAGGCGTCACTCTTCCTCATCTTCCTCCTCCTCCTCCTCTTCCTCCTCTCCCTCCTCTCCCTCCTCCTCTCCCTCTTCCTCTCCCTCCTCCTCTCCCTCCTCTTCCTCCTCCTCCTCTCCCTCTTCCTCCTCCTCTCCCTCCTCTCCCTCCTCCTCCTCTCCCTCCTCCTCTTCTCCCTCCTCCTCCTCCTCCTCTCCCTCCTCTCGTCCCAAACCCTGTCCTCAGTTATCCCAGATACATAAAAACTCTTCTTCTCTGAAACCGCATCAGCAGAGGACCGTAATGCCACAAACCCACAAGTGTATTCTTCCGCCGCAGAAAGAAGTCCCTGAGTCTCTGCTGTTTGTCGAGTTCATTCTGGGACGAGAGAAAACAGCTGAAGAGACGGACCATCCTCCCTCTGCTGCAGACGAGACAGCGGGGAAATTCCAGTGTTGCATCGGCAGTTACACAGCACAGCAAAATATAACATCTTTAACTTTAGTTCTTTCTCTCTCTCTCTCTCTCTCTCTCTCTCTCTCTCTCTCTCTCTCTCTCTCTCTCTCTCTCTCTGCATTACGACACTCACACTAAATGGACTCTTGACTTCATAAATCATTCAGTGGCTCGATCCTGGAGCTGTTGGTTTGGATTTAAGAGCGACGCAATTCAGACACAGGACGGCGAACGCAAGAGGACGGCGAACGCAAGAAGACGGCGAACGTAAGAGAGAGACAGAGAAGGCGGCGAGCGCAGGACGGCGGCGAGCAACACGTAAGCCTCAGTGGCATCAGGATGGGTCAAATGCAGAGGATGAATTAGCCTACGGGGATTAATAAAGTGCACCTTTACAGCACAGGGACCAGTGAAGAGTCCACTGGTCACATGACTCTCTTCAGCCAATAACACGACACTTCCAGCTCTGGACAAAACAAACTTTAACACAGACTTAAATCATTAATTAAATGTAGCTTCCTCAAACGGAGCTTTCTCTTTTGTTTTATCGACTTTAAAATACACACACATTGAACTGTTCCGAACGCCTCCTCGCACTAATAACACCGAGGCCTGCCTATCTCTCTCTCTCTCTCTCTCTCTCTCTCTCTCTCTCTCTCTCTCTCTCGGAGCGCTGCATAATTCCTAAGTTTGGCAGCGGCTCCACGCCTGCATTAGCATCTTGAACCTGCGTGCCCTTTAGCAGAGCACTTATGCCTGGGATGCGGCGGTGGATGGAGGTGTGCGAGGAGAACCGGAGCGACTGCAAACCTCAGCACAACACAGCTTGGGTTAGAAAGAGAGAGAGAGAGAGAGAGAGAGAGAAAAGTGAAAATATTATAAATGAATAAATAAGCAGCGGGAAAGTTTGGTAAATAAAGTGAAAAGCTGGAGAGAGAGGAAGAGGGAGAGAGGGAGAGAGAGAGAGAGATAGAGGGAGAGGGTGAGAGGAAGGGGGAGGGAGAGAAGGAGAGGGAGAGGTAGTGTTTGGACAGACAGAGAGAGAGGGGGAGGGAGAGAGAGAGGGAGAGGAAGCTGATTGGCTGAGAGCTGATTGGCAGAGAGCTGATTGGCAGAGAGCTGATTGGCAGAGAGCTGATTGGCTGAGGGAAGGGGGTCCTCTCTCTTCCACTCTTCTTTCTGTAAAAGTTGGTTTTGTCGTTTCAAAGTTAGAGGCCGCAGCTTTAAAAACATTTCATTCTTCTTCAAAATACTTTCTTTCCCAAACAAATCTTACGCTATATAACTTATTTTTCAGCCAAACATTTTAAAATGTTTTTAAATATTCTCCTGTTAAATTATATCCAGTAAAACCTTCGATATATTCAGTAAATGTATTTGTGTTCAGCTCCAAGTCTCAGAGAACTGTTTGTACACAGGAAATACAACAATGACAAACCACAAGAATCACCACCACTGCCCATATTTGGTCATAAATGTCCCGTCAGAGAACACCGTGTCGTTTACATAATTACATAATAATAATTACAGTTACTTTCACTTTCACTCCATAGTTTCTCTTCTTCTACTGTTCTGCGTCACACCTCACTTCCTCATTCAACCCAATCCTATACAACCAAGTCTGTGTATGTGTGCGTTTGTGTGTGTGTGTGTGTGTGTGTGTGTATGTCTGCGTGTGTGTGCGTCTGTGTGTGTGTGCGTTTGTGTGTGTGTGTCTGTGTGTGTCTGTGCATGTATGTGTGTGCGTCTGTGTGTGTGCGTTTGTGTGGGTGCGTCTGTGCGTGTGTGCATGTCTGTGCGTGTGTGCATGTCTGTGTGTGTGTGCGTTTGTGTGTGCGTCTGCGTGTGTGTGTGTGTGCCTGTGCATGTATGTGTGTGCGTCTGTGTGTGTCTGTGCATGTATGTGTGTCTGTGTATGTGCGTCTGTGTGTGTGTGCGTCTGTGTGTATGTAAATAACTTGCGATGTTGGCGAAATGAGACACGTTTCAATAAGAATAACTCGGTGCTGAGACAAAGGCTCCGGGGACGTGCTCCGGCTGCGATAGTCCCGGTCCCTGTCACTGGTGAAAGCACTCGGCCAGGCAGAACTAATCCAGCGACCGGACCCCCCCTCACCCCTGCCTCCCCCCCCCCCCCCCTCCCCCATCCATCGGCGGACAGAGGTGGCGGGCTGCGGTAGTACACGCTCTCATTGTCTCGCCATGTCCCGTGCACGCCGCGGGAGACGACTGCATTAGCCCGAGCGCTTGCAACACGACCGCCCTGATGTGTGATGAAATGAATCCTCGCCGCCGTGTGCATTAAGCGGTGGCGTGTAAGTGTGAAAAGAAAAAAAAAAGCTGATGGAAAGGCTTCCGAGGGCGCGCTTCAGACATGTATATGGCTAATCTATACCGGCTAATGCGCGCGTTAAGCTAAGTTGTTTACCACATGACAGTCAGACATGTACGCGTCTCTTTGGGATAGGTTTAAAGGTGATATATGTATCGTGGCGCTAACGGCTGCTGTAGCTGTGATGCTAGGACGCTTGTATAGATTTAAATTTCTGTTTTAATGATTTAATGAGAACAACTAAAGTCAAACGCATAGATTCATTATCAAACTTTTTTTTTTTTAAGTGTCCCTGCCATAGAGTGTGTATAAATGGACAATGCTAACCTGCTAGCTTAAAGTACCCATTAACTCCTGTAGCTCAGTAACCGTTTGCGGTAAAAATCCGTAGTTTATCTCTCTCTTTGCTCTTGGTGTTTTTTTGTGATGCTATCTTTGCTAGTCCAGCTTTGAGCCCGGAAAATTGACCAATCAGACGCTTCCGATTGGAGCCTGGTAACTATGCGGTCGCTACCTACAACTGAGCTTTGATTGGATAAACAAGAAACACGTACAAATATATTTATAACATGCTTAAAAGTCAATGTATTTCTATGTACGTAAGAATTTAAGTTTTTAAATAGTTTTTTTTGTAAGTATTATTTTATTTCTAAAGCGCAATTTTATAGACCAAGGTTGAGAGTTTAGATATTATTCCATTCTCTCTGCTCTATGTCGACTCTTACCTCAATTACGGTCAAATCACTCATAATTTTACCCATACTTTTGAGTTTCTATGATATGTTTTTACTGTTTTGTGTCATGAGTCCATTCAGTACAACCTGCAGTTCCCCCGTCCTGCCACAGGGGGTGCTCTCTCCCCATCGATCCACTCGTCTCGTCTCTGATACGTTTAATAAATATGTCTGAAGCGTCTGGTAATATCTGCCGGACTGACAGCACGGGAACAATTATGGCCAAACCAATTTACTGCTTTGCCAATTAATTAAACCGGTGTCAACACTGGACGCAAAACTCACCGGATAAACCCGTTTCACCGACGCACGCCGACTTACTTACACGTCAAACACACGCCAAACACACGGCAAACACACGTCAAAAACATGTCAAACACACGGCATAAACACGGCTACATCCAACTGAGGATGTGTGTATCTGTGTGTGTGTGT